AATATAGACATATATATATATATAAAAATTATTCAAAAGAGTAACTGGAAACAAATTTTAGCAAACCTATTGATAATTTGTATCTGGAATTTTTTCTTGCCATTTCCTAATTTTACACATATTTTTGCAAAGCAGTTTCAACAGATTTATACTTAGTCATCCTTCTATTTGTATAAAGCGATAAATAAAATATTTTGGAACACTAAGAGATCGCCGAAGATTCCTATATGTCCACATGCATCCATAAAATTCACCGTGTTGCAAAGATGCATGTTAAGTGTCTTAAGACTTCTGTTACGAGATTTGAACTCGTCTTGAACGATGAGTAATTTGGAATATGTGTTAAATTTCAGGAGAGAAGTTACTTTCCCTTTTTTTCTCGTGTAGTGTGTAAAAGCACTTGTAGTTCTGATGAATTTGTCATTCTGTCTGCATGAGGCAAATATTTCTAAGTGTTCTGAGGCAATGCATGGTGGTTGCTGATCCCTGTTTTTCAATGCCTTCGTTAAAAGTCTGCTCATAATATATCGAGGAGCTAGTGCTATGTAAGCAAATGAGTTTGTCAGTTCAGCTTTCTTGGTACTGGATGTTTTCACTGGTGACAAAACTCAACCAGAGTTTCTCCTTCCCCCGCTCTGCCCTCACTCCCCCAGTTTCTTTGCTGTTAACCAATGGATCTTAATAAACAAAGGAATATTTTAGCATTCCAAACCTGGTTCCTGCATATGCAAACTGCTGCTCACATAGGCTTCAACTGGACTGTTTGTGAGTACAAGGACTGCTCATCTTAGCAATGATGTGCAGAGTTGGGCACTTTAGAGGGTTGATATGAAATGAAAGTATTTCCATGTGGAGTGTGATTTGTAATTGCAAAGCTGTGACCAGAACGAGTTTGTTTGAAGTCATACTTTATGGCGTTTCTTTTTTTTGTAGAATAGAAGCCATAACTGCATTCACATTGTTTTTCTACTCCAATGCAATTTTTCATGACGATTTTCAGTGTTTGATACGTCTGAGCCGCTGCAGAAAGCAGTGAGGTTTTACAGCTCCACTAAGCCATTACTGCTGAAACTGTCGTGGAAATTATGAAGCTGCATGAATGAAGACTTTTTGACTCGGTGTTTATGATAGTTTCTCAGGTTTAGTTTTAACTGGATGTTAAATGCACTGTGTTTTTTAAATAGTTCTTTTAGTAACACATTCAGTTCTATGCAGTGTTAAATGTCATTTGGCATTTTGGTGAATGTGCATGTTTTGAACTGCAAATTTTAAATGTTTTGTCTTTTAATTGTTAAAAAATGAATAAACTTTGCCATTAAATTAAGCTTTGTTGGCTTGGTTGGTTGGAAATGCTAGGGATTGCTTTTAGAGGAAGACTTATCACTCTTGGGTTTGAATTCCTTAAAATGGGACATATCAGAAACAGCATTTCACAAATACTAAAGAGTTCTTAGGTTTATTAAGGCAAACTGAAAAAGCAGAAAATGCTTTTAAGGTTTGTTTGCTTCTTTATAAGAACATCTATTTTCAGATGCCTTTTTCACTTCTCATGTGAAGTCCAGAAAGGGTTTAAAAAACCCAAAACAAAACCAAGAAGCAATTTAGTGATTTCCAGCAGAGCCCTAACATACTCTGAGAGCAATAGCAGTACCATATTTTCAAAGAGAAGTATGGAGAACAAGAATGGTAAGAGTGGGAATAAGGAAACATCCTCTCCCTTTTCAGACAGTAAATCCTGTACCCTTGGCCTGTGATAGCAGCAGGTGTTCCCTCCCTCTAACAGTGCTGCCACTGAACTGGCATCAATATATCCAAACCTAAACTGAGTTTTGGTTGTAGATAGGTGACTGATTCTTTAAAAATGCACTAGCCAATTTATTTTGTGTTCTGTCAAGGCAGATGCAGTAATAGATATGTCTTAGATGCTGCTGGTTTCACGAGACCCAGTCTTTAGTGGGGAGAGCTGATCTGAGGATATTCCACCTCATGGCATCAACTGCCTCTATTACACTGGCAGTCATGAGGCCATTGAAATTATTCAGGTTATAATCCAGTTTATAATGATCCAGGCTCCCTTTCAAACCTTTTCCCTCCTTTCTTATGGTAAACGTTATTTTGAAGCTAAAATCATTTCATGAACCTGATTTACACAGCCCCTGGAATTTTCACAAGTCATAGGTGGAAAGAATGAAAAGAATAGAAAAGCATTTCTTCTTCTGCCTTTGCTAATGAAAACAGGATGGTATAAAATTACAGCCTCAATGTAACTGTGAGTCAAAAACTGTTTACGTGACTATTGTAGAGCAGTAGCCCCTCCAAAGCAGACACCCTGCTCAGAGTTCAAGTCCACACAGCACTTTGCAATAGGCAGCAAAACCATCCTGAAAATGGGATTCCATCTCTTTACCATTGCTGTCAGGCT